TCACCAGCAGTAGGCGTGTCACAGCGCTGAGAACATAAAGTGATGATGGCTGGATTTACGTCATTGCTGTGAAATGACAGATACTGCTGAGTAACACTTATCAGATTTGATTCTCTGTGAGAGAGGGGCTGGTAAGGTTTGCTTCTTTGTAACAAAATTTAAATGCACATAATTTGACCTGATGTTAAGGAGAAATGAATGCCAGAAAACATCAAATCATGTGCGTCACAGGATGTCTAACAACTATCAATGTATAAAAATCTCTCTATTATATCCTCCTGTTATAGAAGACTGAACGTGCCCAAATACAACTATTAATCTTATTTTAAATTGATTAAAGTTAACTGATAATGATAATTTGAAAATAAGCAAATACCTAATCAGCCAATCTTATGGCGGCAACTCAGTACATTTAGGCATGTAGGCATGGTCATGGACAACCTGCTAAAATCTAACCTCAAAATGGGGAAGAAATGTAATTCTAGTGATTCGATCCCAACTGATATGCTGGGATTTTTCCACACAACCAACCATCAAAAGAGAAAATATCCAGTGGGTGGCAGTTTACCGCGTGAAAATGCATTGTTGGTACCAAGAGGTAACGGTAACTCAAATAACCACTTGTTACAAACAAGGTATGCAGAAGATCATCTCTGAGTCTGTAGCAGAAAAAGACCACACCGACCACACAACTCAAGAGTCTCGATTTCTGCTGTGACATTCAGATGGCAGGCTCCATCCTGTCTCATACGAACAGTGATGTAATGCTGATGTTTTCTTAGCACGTTTTGCGGTGAGTGTTTTCACATGTGGCTGAGGGAAAAAAAACAAAGGTGGGCTACAAATGATGATCCATTAGTGTGTCTACGTTAACCACAAGGGACACAAAAAAACAGGTCTGTGACTAATGCATAAAACCTAAAACAAAAGTACAGCATACACAGTTTTGTTCACCATTTATTAGCTATAGTTACATGCATACTTGCTTACAGTTGATTTTAGTGTGCAGTACACAGTTTCATTTAGTTTCATTGTCTAGGTTATATTACCCCAATTTTACTTTACAGGCTGCCTTACCAAAAGAAGTCTTTACAACATAGTTCGTTTTTCACATTTTCAACACATAACAAAGTTTTCTTAGAAGCCAGTAGCCATAGATACACAAGGTACGCTGCTTTTGTTGCCAGGACCGGAAAAGCTGTCAGCACATCAAACAATACGGGAAGTAGCAAAATCGTCAAAGTCACAGCTTTACATTCTTAGAAGCTGCAGGGTCACCAGCTACTCCGGGCGAATTTCATGACTGAGTATATCTATGGCTCCAGCACAACAACACGACCATAGAATAAACAATCAGAACAATCAGAGCAATCAGACCACTTTTCTCTAGGTTTTTGCATCCTCCGTTACGATACAACCTTCTTCCTTTTTTTTTTTCTTTAAATTCTAGGTAAATATTGGCCAGGTCTGTTGCAAATCCACTCTCTATCTCTTCATATGTGCTTTTTTTTGCTTCAGTAATAATGTCTATAAACGCAGGCCTTGGCACAAATCCTTAAATCTTATTCTAAACATTCAGGGAGAAAACCAAGAACCTGTCCACTCATTGTCCGCCCTTTAGTCCAGTTGTGAATCTCCAGCAGAGTGCAGTTGTTGAGTTAATTGAGTTTATATACAAGAACAAAAAAATTAAAGCTACTTTTGAGCCCTGTCCCTTTTTCAGAATCATGTCATTATTGGGAATAAACCTGCACAGGTAAAGGTGAAAGTACTGAGCAGTCTGAACAGTCTCAGATACAGACTTAGATTATTACAGCAGGAGATATGGAGGTCGAGATTAGGCCGAATGCTGCTGAACACTTTACATGTGCAAGAGTAATTAGACATTGAAGTTAGTGATTGTACAATTAAACAGCTGTAATGTACAATTTAGACAAATGTGGAGTCCCACCAAGCACCACATGTCCACTGATGTCCCCCCCTTTTTTCTGAGCTAAATATGGCCGGCTAGTCAAAACTGTCATATTTTCAGGCTACTACAATATTGTGCAAAAGTCCTGATCCATCCCTCATCTTTTTGCATTTTGGAAGTAGGTGCAGTACCTTAGTTTCATGCAAACATACATGTAAATACAGCATATAAGGAAAAAACTGAGTTTGTATAATTCTAAGAGACTTAAAAGTCAATATTTGGTGTGACAACCTTTATTCTTCAGCACAGCCTGAACTCTTAGACAATATTTCTTGTAATTTCTTTAAGTAGGAGTCGTTCTCCAGGCTTCTTTAGGGACATTCAAAGCTCTCTTTGGATGTTGGCTGTCTTTAGATGATCCCACACAAATTCAACAATATTGAGATCTGAGCTCTGAGAAGGCCAATTCATGACTGATAGCGTTTCATTGAGTGTGTTTTTCTATCCAGTTATGATTTTACTGCATTGGCAGTGTGTTTGGGGTCATTGTCATGTTAAAAATTAAGTTGCTGCCAATTGAATGATTTACCAATGGTACTTTTCTGTGTTCACAATTCACATTAATTTTGACACGATCTCCAAAACCACTGGCTGAGATGCAGCTCCAAACCGTAACACAGCCTCCACCGTGTTTTACAGATGTCTGCAGACTCTGACCTTATTACATCACTCCATCAGACCTGTTGTCACTGATTTTCAGTCCAGTTCTTGTGTAATCTGACATACCTCAGCCTTCCTGACAGCCACCCTTCCACTTCCACTGATTTCTAATGAGGCTTCAGTGAACAGTAGACGGATCATCTGAAGGTTCAGATGCATCTCTCAGGTCTGTTTCAGGTCTTTGTTGGATTTTTTTCCTATTTCTGACTTTTAGACAAAAATACTATTTATCTGTCAATTTTTCTTAGATTCAGCAAGAAAAATTAAAACCATTAAAACTTTGCAACAGGTTGCTAGTTACAAAGTACCTAAAGATACAATTTAAAATTATCTGTAAAGTTATCCTTGAATGAGTCATAGGTCAGTGTTAAGTCTCTGCTCAGGTACAAGGACTGAACTGAAAATGAGTGAAAAAGCAGCCAATGTCAAAGAAAATTCTGAAAGACCTTCACAAAGTCTGGAGAACGGTTACTCAAAATTTACAAGAAAGCCACGCTGCCTGGAAGCAAATATTTAAAAAAAATGAGGTGACTCAAGACTTTTGCACCATACAGCTTAATTCTAACCATGAATCCACGATTATGCACCTTGATTCATGAATCACTTTCCTTCTTAACAGCCTGAAAAAACTATTTTCACCTTTAACTTTTCAAATCTAAAAGTTGTAGAGCAAACCTTTTAATGTAATCTTCCACATGTACACTTGTACTTTTTTTGGTTAGGTGGGACCGTTGAATATCAGAAACTGTTCAGAGCGCACGTTTTCCTCACAAATTAAAAACCGACTGAAACGCTGTTGGGTTAATATCTCTGCCGCAGTGCTAGCACACGGAGGAGTAGAACTCCACTTCCCACAATGCTTTGCAATTAAAGGTTGCAGCATTAACAACAACAAAGAAATCGATTAACTGAAAAGAAAACTAAAACCAATATTAGAATTTGTCTTTGCAGGATAATGTTTAAAGGTCAATCTGGTAACAATAATAACAAAAGATCACCCTTTACGTGGCTTCTGTGATATACCTGTTTTATCTGGTACCTTCATCCTGGCCTGGACAGTTAGAAAAGCCTAAAATAAATCAAAGTGAACAACTCACTGCAGCACGTTTGAAAAAAGAAAAAGCACATTATAAAAACACTACAGTCCAACCAGCTCATACCGAGGATTAGCCAAACCTATACCGAAAACAGAGAAGAGAGAATATACTGTAGATTACTGCCGCGAGCCTCTTACATTTATGTATTTATAGTCCAGGGGCTGCGTTCACAAAGCCTCCACAGACAGCAGTGCTGACCCAGGGTCGAGTGAAGGAGTGGACATGACCTTTGACCCTTGGGCTTTGTGAGAGCTGCTCCAGCTGTGGTTTAAGTGTGGAAGCATTTATAATAAGACCAAGAGCACAGCACACAGTCACTGGCTGAAATGTCAGGCTTCACTTTATGAACGAATACAAAAAATACCAAAAACTAATTTCATGATAGTCACTGTTCAGACTGGGCAGATGGGGCTCAATTATTCAATGAGAGGGAAACTCGAACGAGGCTGCTGGCGCTTGTTTTCCCACACCAGCTTCATCCTGGGTGGGTGGAGTCTTTTATCACAGTTTCATCACACTATTCTAACGTTAGAAGGTATGTTTTTAGGAAATGCACTGACCCAACCCCTTTTTTTGTTTTTGAGAGTTTGGCTGTCCAATCACTTTTGTACCCAAAACGTACCTGGAGAGCCAGCTTCCACATTTCTCTGTGTAGTTTCTGCCTGTAAGCTAACGCCAGCGTACTGCGAGCTCATAAACACACCTGTGACATAAAATATTACTCTGAGCATTTCGAATGCTGCTGATCGTGTGTTTGTTTGATATTATGAATAGGACCTCTTTAAAAGAGCTGTATAATCATGTCGAGGAACATTTTCCAGTGGGCTCAAATATGTTAATGCATATTATCTGGCTTTGAGAATAAGATTATCTGCTCATCGGTGGCCCAACAACACTGGAACTGGTTTGTTTACATGTCCCAACTGTAGAAATATCCCACCAGCATAATCTGTATATAAAAGATGGCCCCAGCTAATGGTCTGAAAAGTGAAGCCAACATGAAAGCTGGAGTCTTTCTTCAACCAGCAGGGGGAGACCTCGTGTTGTACATTAATCGATGGGAAACCCCCTAATCTTTCTTCTTCTGTGACTTTACGTGTCGATGTTGCACGTTCTCCCTGTATCATTGTAACAGTCAGGAAGGCCTCACTAACTAACGGTAAGGCCCAAAACTCAGAGTGTACAGCATGTACGCTCCAACAGCTAACTAGCACTGTTTATGGCTGTGTAGCTTTGAAATGCTTTCTTAAAAATGTAATTTCTACACCTTTGTAACTTAATCCAACCCCATTAGTTTTTCCTTAGTACGCTAGTGGCTCAGTCACACTGGAGTAAAAACCTCAGAAGAAAAAAAAGGTGGTTACCTGGTAATTGCATTGGATTTTTTTTGCAATCACCAACAGACTTCAAGTAGATACAGCAACTAACTGGTCGTCCAGAGCTTCAAAATGCTGCACCGCCAACCTTCTGGGCTTTCACCTCGACTGCACAGGTTGCCTGGTGGGAGGCAATCGGTCTCCAAACAAATGCAGACTGACTCGAACACTTGACTCTCAGACTGACTGGCAAAGGTTTGCAAATCACTGTCCTCTAATTTCTAAACACCAGAGAGCACAACTCGTCTATAACGCGTCTCTTTGCAATAGGAGACTCAGCTCAGCTGGTTGCATACTAGTTATATTCCAATATAAAAGCAGGGTTGTTGAGTGCATGTGTCAATGTGACTGAATCATAAACTAACGGTGCTCTCCAGACAAGCGTCTCCAGCTGTACGTCCCTCCGCAGAGCACTTTTATCTCCCGTTAGCTACAGCTTCATTAGCCACATCCTGTTAGCATGCATGACAGCTCACTACACAGAGATAATGCTGCTCCTGCTGTCTCATGCTGGTTCAGATGAGCCAAACTCTCAAAAGGTCAGTGTCTCCAAAGGAAGGTGTGCGTGTTTCATAAACAGGCATGACCCAGAAAGCTAGCGAGTTATCTGCTAATAAGCTATTTTTCTTTATTTTCCCTGATTATCCTTACTCGTTTCCATAAATCCTTTCTCAACATTTGGTAGAGGAGTTAAGATTGCACTATAATTAGTTTGTCTTGTGCTATATACCTTGTGTTTTGTAAACACGTCGCCCCCATACTCACTAGGGGCCCACCTGCACACAGAGCCTGTAATATTGCTAATAGAGCGTGTAGGGGAGGGGGAGCTGCTGAGTACTGAGTGTTGTTAAAGGTTAAAAATAAGCAGATGTGGGGCTGAAACAGTGTGTGTGGTTACTGTGCCATACGCCCTGGGTGGCTGGACACAAAAACCTCTCTGGTTTAAGTTCACAAACAGGTGTGTGAGAAATGTATGACTGATATTCTTTTTTAATCAGACTTTTTTAGTTGATGATGAACATTAAAACTAACCAAACCCCTTAAGTTTCAACTTAGCGTCACATTTCTCCCCCTTTAACTCTCCCCGCTTCATCTCTCTATTGTTTTTTCTTCTTTTAGTCGGACCATTCGTTCTCGTCGAGCTCGGAGTCGTCGTCGGACTCGCTGTACTCCACTGCGATACGACGCGACAGGATCGTGGCCACGTCGTTACCAACGGGCTCCCTCTTTGCCTCCTGCTCCCTCTGCTCCTGCACCTTCCTCAGCTGGATACCTGGAGGGGGCAGAGGAAGGGCGGAGTTAACAAAAAAAAGATAATTTCTATTAAGAAATTTAAGTAAATTTTTGGGGGTTTTTTTATAGTGTAAAATCTTTAAAACATTTAAAATTTCTTTATGTGTTTGTTCCACCAAAATCAAACTATTTTGGATGCAAAGGCATTTTTCAGTTATTCAAACTCATCCATCCTGGTAGTTTTTATGAAATAAATTTGTTTGTAAGCAACCAAAATGAAACGTAGCTGTGTTAACTTCCCTGCTCTATGTGGGGGCTAATAATAAAGACCCTGTGCGTCCCTTCCTCATACAGACGCACTCACCTCTACGTATGGCCGCCAACAGGTCGGAGCGGGCGTCGCTCATGGGGATCATCCCCAGCATGGTGGACTTCCTCGTCGAGGGTGCCGCGTCCACAGCTGACTGACCGATAGCGGCGTGCGGGGGTGACGGGTGGGCCTGGTGGCCCAAGGGGGCTCCCGGAGGAGGAGGAGGAGGGGCGGCCGGGGGTGCGCCTGAAGGCGGGTGGGAGGGGGAGGGCAGAAGTTGGCTGGGGGAGGAGGAGGAGAGGGTGAGTAGGGACGGGAGAGGGCGGAGGAGGTCGGGGGGACAGCGGAGGTGGCGGAGGGCGGGGCGTTGGTGGAGTCGAAGGCGGTCTGGGCAGAAGGGATGGTTAGTGGGGGTGGGGGAGGGGCCGGCGGGATGTAGTACTCGGGGATGGTGGAGGGCTGCCCTCTGGTGATGGAAAGAAGTAAATTAAAGATTTTTAATGAGTAGAAACAAACTAAACGCAAACAAAGCCGTAAAACAGATCAAGCAATAACACGCAGAAAACAAACCCGTGTGCGGCGCGGTAGTCCTTAACCGACTGCTGCCTCGGCCCGTTGACTGTCGGATCTCCTCCGGCCTGGACGCCGTGTCCCGAGGGGGTTCGGCCCAGGGAGGCCACGTGCCGACCTGTTGCCGCAGCACCGCCCGCTCCCGGGGGCTGGTTGGCCGGCCTCAGGCCCCGATCCAGTGACTGCGTCTGGGCCGCGGCACTGAGGTGATCCCTGGTGTGGTGGTCGGCGGGGTGGGCAGTGCTGGAGGCCTGGGTGGAGGGGTGGTTGGGGCTGGCTGGGTAGGAGTCGGACGCCATTGATCTGTTGGAGAGTTGTAATTGAAAATTAGAGGGCAGGTAGGAAGGAGCAGTGAATCATGATAATAACAGAAATGTTAGATTTTCTATTCCTTGTATTATTTCCTGCTCTGCCACAGCAGTGACTTCAGTCCCTAATGAAAGTCAACCTCATCGTTTCCTCCAACCTGCTGTGACGCAATCCAGGTGCTCTGCACTACATTTGCCAGAAGAGGGCAGCACAGAGCTGTAAACGACACAGTAAGCTGGCACTTAAATCTCTGTATTAAGCAGGTATGTGCTTAAATTATGTGACACTTATAGTGGCTGTGTAACAACGCCAGCTTACTGTGTACTATTTATAGTATATGAATAGTATTTATAGGCTTTAAAGGATGAGAGAAACACTCATCCAATGCCCATCCTCAAACACTGACTGTACACATAAACTAGGACAGGAAACAGCACCTCAGAGACAAACCTCACTTGTAGCTAATGTATGTGTGTGTGCACACGTGTGTTTACCTGCTATCTGGGGACAGTGAGCCTTCAGAGGACATGCCGTGGTAAGGGGAGGGGGCGAGCCTGGCGTCTGGTCTGAACTCTTTGTCGTAGGCCAGGACGTTCCACTCCTGGCGTCGGTTACGAGCTTTACGCACCTTCAAGGTTAAACCGGGAGAAACAGACACGTTACACTGCAGTTACAGGTAAAATTATATATGTATATAATTATAGTAATGGAGTTTAGAAAGATTAAGCTGCTGTATTACATCTTTCTCCTGCAATCCTTTCACAGTCACTACCTTTAGAGCAGAGCATTAGAACAGCTGTACCTGTATTGCACCCTACTAATAGAAAGTAGATTTTTACTGCCTCTACTCCAGTAGCAGCATTTACTAGAGATGCCTTTTAAAATGATTAAGAGCTCTCCACACTAACAATGTGGTCTCTGCTCTTTTTATTCCACTTTTATTAAGTATTTTACCAGCAAATTCACTTTTCTTTGGCTCTAAGCAGCTTTGTGATTTATTTTCTTCTTCATCAGTTCTTGATGTTACTGATGCAGTTAGGATGACTGTATAAGACCAGCTCAGATAATACATCTGCTAAAGTGCAGAATCAGTGTAAATGAAGGAGGAAGGTCAGATTACTCTTAGTAAGCCAGTAAATTTGAATTAAAGCGATTTTTCATGGGTGTCAACGATGGAAATCAAAGCTAAACTGAAAGAAACACAATATTCCCACAAACGTCGGGGAGCCCGGAGTCATTTGGGGTCTAAGGAGGAGGAGATATGTAAGAAAAGACTGATGTTTAAGGACAGTAACGTGCTTTGAAATGTGCAAGTGTTTACTCAGTTCCAAAAAAAGCACATAGAAAACCTGCCTCCAAACCAGCTGATTATTACAAACAGATTAAGCGTGACTGCTAACTTGACCCCTTTGATCTACAAACTGATAACACCGTGTATTCTGACAGCTTCCTATCAGAAGCAGCATTAACGTTTTTCAGCAGTTTGAGCTACAGTAACTCGTCTGTTGGATCGGACCACACGGGCCAGCCTTAGCTCCCCAATCATCAGTGAGCCTTGGACGTTCATGACCCTGTCACTGACCACTGCAGGCCAGGAACAACCCACAGCATCTGCGGTTTGGAGATGCTCTGATCCGGTTGTCTCGCCGTCACAACTTGGCCTTTGGTAAACTCACTCTAGTCCTTATGCTTGCCCATTTTTCCTGCTTCTTACTCATCAACTTTGAGGATAAACTGTTCATCTTCTCTCTAATATATCCCGCCCACTAAGAGCTGCAACGATGGAGAGATAATCAGTGTTGTTCACTTCACCTGTCAAAACTATGATCTGCTTTATACTCTGTTAAAAACTGTTCATTAAATGATTGTATAGAGGATTTAACCGCTTGCTTTACTCTTGTTTCAGAGGAACGTTGATAACTCTAATTAAATGACCATTAATAATAAACTTAGTAAGTGATTACTGACCTTCTTCACTTCTCTGCTCGGGTCTTCAACCTGCCTCTGCTGCTCCTACGAGTGACACACAGACACACAGAGGAGCAGAGGGAAACTCAGCTGTTGGCTATTTATTTATTTACTGTGTAAAGGGAAATATAAAAAAGCTCAACCCCATCACCAGCTCCTTCACCACGGGGTAAATTCACACTGACCCAGCCCCCAACACACACACACACACACACACACACACACACAGTGTAAGCACCACCCAGTCACTATTCGACAACACCAAAAACACCGGTACAGATGACAGAGCCAAAACTTGTGGGAGCACAGGACAGCAACCAAACCAAACACGGAGGGTTAGCAAGACGGTGAGGTGTTAAGCTGAGGTGACATTAAACACACACACAGACAAACAGGAGGGAGTGTGTGTGTGTGCTGGCATTTACTTAGTACTTTCATGTGTATCAGCGTGTCTCAATGGTGTTAGGACATGTCTGCTTTGATAGGTGAGTCTGTAATGTGTGCTAGTGGGATGTGTGGGGAGGAAGTGGAGGGAGGGGAAGTGGGGGGGCAGAACGGGGGCAGGTTAGGTTAGGGGTCGGGGTTGTCTTACAGAGATGGACAGGGGGCTCCTGGGTTGGGCCTGTCTGGAGTGGGGCCTGTCAGGGTGGGCCGGACAGCCCTATGGAAACATGGGAGAAAGACAAGCTGGTGCGTTAGACTGAGCAGAGGAGGTGGAGGAGGAGGGGGTGGGGGGTGTCTTCAAAGGCCAGGAAACTAAAGATAGAGAGAAACGAAGGAGGAGGAGCTGTGGGAGGAAAGGATAGAGGTGGAGGAGCCATCCTCCTGCAGCTCGCTCGGGCTCTCAGACCTGTTGAGTAACAGCTGAAGCTGCGTTGTTTCGGAGGTGGGAGGGGGGGGGGAAGGTTCTGCATGGTTTCCAGGTCGAAGGGAGGGAACAGAAAAATGTGAGCAGCATTAAATTCAACAGAAATATTGACCGAACTGCAGCAAACACATGCAGCAGCAGCTGTTGAGCGGTTACAATCACCAACAAAGGAAGAGAGCGCCAAAGGAAGTGTGAAGGGGAACACCACCGAAGCTCAGCTCTGAAATACTCGTAGCTCAGTTCCTATTAGTTTGAATGGATTAATAAACGAGAGCAATGGTGGTGTGCTGGAGCTCCTTTCAGTGCTCCAGGTTATTGGTGTTCACGTAGACCAGCGCACAGACCTGCAAACTGAATGCACTACTTTAAAACAGCAGGACACAGTTCAGTTAAATCCAGCAGGAAGTGAGCGTACAGTAGTGTGCTAAAGACTTGAGTCACCTCTGGTTTCTTTACATTTTTGTAGGAAAATGGCAAATATTCTTATTCTTCAGCACAGTCAGAACTCTCTTATGGAAGCGTTCTTGCAATTTCTTTAAGCAGTCTTCGGGAATAGTTCTGCGGGCTTCTTCAAGGACATTTAAAGCTCGTCTTTGGATGTTTCTGAATTTAGATGATCCCAAACTGCTTTAATAAAATTGATGTCCGGGCCCTGGGGAGGCCAATCCATAACTGATATTGTTCCACTGTGTGTTTTTCTATCCAATCAGATGTTTGCTGGATGGTACTGGACCTTATGGTACTTTTTTGCATTCATAATTCCATCGATTTTGACAAGATCTCCAAAAACACTGCAGCTCTAAACCACGACAGAGCCTCCAGGATTTGAATCAAAACTTTCAAATTCAGATTCATCACTCCATCAGATCTGTTGTCACTGATTTTGGGTCCAGTTCTTGTGTAATCTGGCATACCTCAGCCCACACACAGCCACCCTTCCACTGAGACCATTTCTGATGAGGCTTCAGTGAACAGTATATGAGTTGAAGGCCCAGATGTACAGTGGGGCAAAAAAGTATTTAGTCAGCCACCGATTGTGCAAGTTCCCCCACTTAAAATGATGACAGAGGTCAGTAATTTGCACCAGAGGTACACTTCAACTGTGAGAGACAGAATGTGAAAAAAAAAATCCATGAATTCACATGGTAGGATTTGTAAAGAATTTATCCGTAAATTAGGGTGGAAAATAAGTATTTGGTCACCTCAAACATGGAAAATCTCTGGCTCTCACAGACCTGTAACGTCTTCTGTAAGAAGCTTTTCTGTCCCCCACTCGTTACCTGTATGAATGGCACCTGTTTGAACTCATCATCTGTATAAAAGACACCTGTCCACAGCCTCAAACAGTCAGACTCCAAACTCCGCCATGGCCAAGACCAAAGAGCTTTCGAAGGACACCAGGAAAAGTATTGTAGACCTGCACCAGACTGGGAAGAGTGAATCTACAATAGGCAAGCAGCTTGGTGTGAAAAAATCAACTGTGGGAGCAATCATCAGAAAATAGAAGACATACAAGACCACTGATAATCTCCCTCGATCTGGGGCTCCACACAAGATCTCATCCCGTGGGGTCAAAATGATCATGAGAACGGTGAGCAAAGCTCCCAGAACCACACGGGGGGACCTGGTGAATGACCTGCAGAGAGCTGGGACCAAAGTAACAAAGGTCACCATCAGTAACACACTACAACGGCAGGGAATCAAATCCCGCAGTGCCAGACGTGTTCCGCTGCTGAAGCCAGTGCATGTCCAGGCCCGTCTGAAGTTTGCCAGAGAGCACATGGATGATACAGCAGAGGATTGGGAGAATGTCATGTGGTCAGATGAAACCAAAGTAGAACTTTTTGGTATAAACTCAACTCGTCGTGTTTGGAGGAAGAAGAATACTGAGTTGCATCCCAAGAACACCATACCTACTGTGAAGCATGGGGGTGGAAACATCATGCTATGGGGCTGTTTTTCTGCCAAGGGGACAGGACGACTGATCCGTGTTAAGGACAGAATGAATGGGCCATGTATCGTGAGATTTTGAGCCAAAACCTCCTTCCATCAGTGAGAACTTTGAAGATGAAACGAGGCTGGGTCTTCCAACATGACAATGATCCAAAACACACCGCCCGGGCAACAAAGGAGTGGCTCCGTAAGAAGCATTTGAAAGTCCTGGAGTGGCCTAGCCAGTCTCCAGACCTCAACCCCATAGAAAATCTGTGGCGGGAGTTGAAAGTCCGTGTTGCTCGGCGACAGCCCCAAAACATCACTGCTCTCGAGAGAAGATCTGCATGGAGGAATGGGCCAAAACACCAGCTACTGTGTGTGCAAACCTGGTAAAGACCTATAGTAAACGTTTGACCTCTGTTATTGCCAACAAAGGTTATGTTACAAAGTATTGAGTTGTATTTTTGTTATTGACCAAATACTTATTTTCCACCCTGATTTATGAATAAATTCTTTACAAATCCTACCATGTGAATTCATGGATTTTTTTTTCACATTCTGTCTCTCACAGTTGAAGTGTACCTCTGGTGCAAATTACTGACCTCTGTCATCATTTTAGGTGGGGGAACTTGCACAATCGGTGGCTGACTAAATACTTTTTTGCCCCACTGTATCTCTCAGGGCCGTGTCAGGTCTTCGCTGGATTTTTTTCCCTGGCTCTAAAAGACATGACTTTCAAGCAGAAACGCCTACGGAGGAGGCTACAAATGTGGCCTCCTCCTGAGGCCACATTTGTAGACCGATTACGTCACAGCGACACGATGAAGACTGTCCAAATTCGTAGACTCCTCCGAATCCGGCCGACAAATACGTCCTCCTTTTCCCCAGATTTGAAGAATGGGCCGGGTGTGTCCTTCGTGGCCCACCATATCCCAGAATTCATAGCGCGGCCCAGCCAATTCCAGTTTCCAAACAATGGCGGCCGCTACTAAGTTTTTAATATTACTGTTATTAATCTTTCTGGGTCACAAAATAAACTTTTAACATATTTTAGGCAAGAAAGTAGCTGTGTAAACTTCAAATATCTGCTCGGTTTATCAAGACATCGCATATTTGCAAAAGCGCTCCGATGTTTTCGGAGACGTCCGTTACCCACCAGCTCGATAGCTAGCTGGGGGTTCAATGTCACTCGAGCCGGTGAGAACAGCGGACTCCCGGCTTCATCGTTTTCAGACCCCCGCAGTCTTTCACTACTCAGGTTAAACATGATATATAAGTCACTCAGATAACTTAAAAACGTTATTGTTTAGCTTTTTCAGTGTTTTACTTGTTGGGGAGTAAATCGTTTTGGTTGAGATTAAAGTTATTAGATTAAATTAAATAAAAGTTGATTAATCCCTCGGGTGGTTTTCACACAGCTGAATAAACATCAAACAGAAAACTGATTAAACAGAAGTGTGAGACGGTCGTGTCCTGTTATATTTTAGATAGCAAGGAGCAGAGAGCTGAGTTTACTGGACTCCACCGAGACAGCGGTGACGCAGATTTGAAGGCTGGACCGTCCCATTTCACAGCCTCGCACTTCCAGCCTTCTCGGTCTTCAAAGGACCCGGCCCACGTAGACCGCGAAGGCCGGGTCCTCCGAAGGACGTGGCCTAGGTTTTGGGACACAGCTTCAGATGCGGTTCATCTGCTATAGATATATATTTTTAGACTCGCCACTTCTTCTTCTTCTTTCCACTTGTCAAGTTTCCTCAAACTTTTTAAGGGACACACTGCACACAATATGAGAGGACGAGGTGAAACAGCTATTAGCCACGGTCTTGCTGATTAATGCTAAAACACTTTTTGAGTTAGGTGCCTTTTCTGTTCTTGAATGATTCATAGGTCAGGGTTCAGTGGTCTAGCACAGCGGTCCCCAACCCCTGGGCCTCGGACCGGTACCGGTCCATGAGTCGTTTGGTACCGGGCTGCGAGAGTTGAGGCTCAGGTGTGAAATGTATGGTTTTCAGGGTTTTTATCGGTTTTCAGTGTTATTTTGTTATCGTTTGTACCGTTAACTTGGTTTTCCTGGGTCTTTTCACGTGTGTTATGAATAAATCTTATTTTTTTCGGTACCGGTACTAGTTTTATTTTGTTGTATTTATCCGCGACACCTTAAAGGCCGGTCCGTGAAAATATTGTCAGGCATAAACCGGTCCGTGGCGCAAAAAAGGTTGGAGACCGCTGGTCTAACAAACAAAATCCTCTAAAAATGGTCAGGTTCCACGACTGGACTGAAAATGAGTGAAAAAGCAGACAATGTCCAAAGAAGAACTCTGAAAGACCTTCAGAAAGCCTGGAGAACTATTACTCAAGAGCACGTAAAGGTCTGGCTGCTTGGAAGAAAAATATAAAGCAATGAGTGGTGTCTCAAGAGTTTTACACTGTATGTAACTACAGCCAAATACAACGTTCGTATAAGTTCTCCCTCGATCACGTTGTTGTCTCTGGATAACCGGCCTGCTCAGCTGCTGCTGCATCGATAGCCGATTAAACAACCAAGCAAAGCTAAATGGAGAGTACAGTCAGAGAGAAATGAAACTGAAATAACAGCATAGATGGCACCACCGGGCAGGAAAATAAAAATTCGCAAAATAAAGCAGAAGATGAATTTCTTTAACCGTTTCCAGACCACGGTGACGTACACCCAAACATACAGCGCACGCTCACAAACACTCGTTCGGCGCACACATCGTACCTTCTGCCGTCTCTTCTCTTTGCGCTTGTCCTCAGTGGCCTGCAGCATCTTTTCCTTCCACAGGTTGAAGAAGTAGGAGGGGTCGGTGTAAAACTTCAGGGCGTCCTTCTTGTCATCCCTGCGAGGAGGAGGAAGTGAAACTAAGAAAAAAAAAACAGCGGAGCTTGGTAAATTATCAATACTGGCAGAGAGGCTAAAAGACTGACCTATAGGGGGTGAGAATATTAAGTGGTGGAGGTTTGTCGCAGCGGTGGTACATCTCCACCACAGGGTTGGGCACAGAGGTCCTCGACACCACCTGCTGGTCCTGAATGGTACTGCTCTTAAAGGCCTTTCTCATGTTGATGTCCTGCAGAGAAACTGGAAACAGAGAAGGAGGACAGCATTAAATTATGATAAGCAAACAGAATGAAGAACAACAACACGGCGATTAAGCCGGCAGAGTCACAAACACTGGTGTTTGACATCATAATCCCCCAAAACAGCCGGTTTCAGCCACTAATTCCTTCATATGCATCACTCTCCTCTACCCTCGATTTTTTTTTAACGCATGAATCAAAGCCAGGATTTGTGGCATTAAGAGAAAAAGAGCCTAATCTCTTGTTAGGGCTCTTAGAAAAAATTAGCACAAGTTTAGCAGATTTTTAATGCCAATTAATTCAAGCTTCAGTCTGATGGAGTGACCAAAGAAAACATCAACCTGGAAAATAAACTTTTTAAAATCTAGTTTAAGGATAATTACGGACAATCCGAGTGAAAAATAAAAACAGATAATCATCAGAAAATAATAATTTTCCTCTTTTTTTTTAGCTTCCTACAGTGGAGTTAATCAATCTTGTGTCACTGCTCACAGATAAAATGCATCTAATCACTTCCCATTTATCATACCCACTACACCATTACATCACACGTCACATGCTCTGGGCTGAATGACAGCGTGCGTCTGCTGGAGTTCTTCATTAAATAAAGATGATCTGCTTTTTTATGAAGTCTAGACTCTATAAATATGCAAACATCTGCCGTTCTCAATGCGTGTGCAGCTTCTGATTGGCCAATATGTTTTTCTACCAGCCACCAGGGGGCTCTGCTTATTCCAGGAGTCCTTTAAACACCGGACACGTGAGATTTGTGTTTCATATTTTAAACCTTTAAAACCTGAATCATGAAACAACTGCTAGAAAATTCAAATTTTTGAAAATGACAATAAAATAAAAAAATTAATTAAATATTAATTTGCATACACGAGTTTTAGTTTGTATCGTATTTGCTACATTCAGTATTTTATTTTTCAGTTTATTGCTTAAAATGTTTTGTGCAATTTATTTATGTAAAAAAAAAAAAATCACAATGATGATGTTCAAGTCTGAGAAACTGGGGGTATTAAATATGATATGATAGCGAAATCCCCCTTTTTGTCAGTGTAAAGAAGTTTAACAACACATTTAAACCCTGAGATGTCTTAATACAAGATAAGACAAATTTCAACAACACGTCTCAGTTTTTCTACATGACAAATGTGTAAAATTACAGAAAGATTTTCTTTAATAGTAAAAAAACAGGAACTTTGCCCATGTCCTCATTTTAGGTTTGGGACTGGTGTCGGCTCCTGGGCTCATGTACTAATGAGAAGTGAAGAAGTGAAAGAACTGAAAAAAGGGGGAACTAGGGTGGGGCACGAAAATGAGAACAAACAGCTTGTAGAACTGGGGGGGTCATATATGGACAAGACCCGGAAGAGGTGTGTTTGGAGGCGTGGTCCCGCTCCTGAAATTCACATAATTTATCTTCAATTACTTAACTAAATGGCTGTGGGGGAGGTCTTTGTCAGCAGGAAAAGCCGTAGAATTTATAAAAAGAAAATTTCAAAGTCCGCAAATTTTTTCCAAAACACATCAGCAGGCTGCTGGGACAACTCTGGCCATTCACACCGAATTTGGACGAATTTCCTGTATTTGTTTGACTAATTTATAACTCTGATAAGTGGAAGAGAATGGATGGATGAAGAATCTGTATTTTGTTTCTCTTGCCTTAAAACATACGCAGGAAATAAGGGGTTAGCAACTAATCAAAGAAAATAATAATACTAATATTAATAATAATACTAGCCATCAGCCTCTTGGTAGATGCACATGTAGTATAAATGTGAAAATCCTAGCAGTTGACCTCTGATTGTTAGGTCAAGCTCGCCAGGATTTGAACTCGTCCCAGAATGTTAGCAAGTCGTCTCGTTCTTAAGTTACCGCAATCACAAACTTGGGTGTCCACCCGCCCACCAGCCCAGCAGGGTGCCGCCAAAACCCCGTCAGTATACAAACTGTTGCACTTCACTTTAACCTCATCGTTTCGACCTTTCCGTCGACAAATAAAACGGCACATGCTGCTCAAGCAGGAGCCATAACACACTCAGAGCAGCTATTGACCCTCAATGGTAACTTTACACACGCAGCTCTGACCTTGTTGAGATTTATGGGTTTATCGGTCGTTGAAAAGCGGCGTGGTAAATGTAGGAAACTGCTGAGAGAGGCAGGGGATGAAATGCTACGAGGCAAAGACGTCTAATTAGAACACTTCATTGTCAAGTAATTCCTGGAGTACATACTTATCAGCAGATGCTTCTCTAAACAGACACCGTTTGGATATGTGTGTATTTGTTTGCTACGATTCTGCAACCTATAGACGATCATTTTAGAAGTAAAACGGATAAACGGATCAAATACACGCACATCGTGTGCATATCGACTGATACAGAACATACAGCTTAAACGGTGTTTGAACTCGAACGCATACATACGCATGCACAAATAATAGGACAGCAGGGTCAGATTAGACTTGGAGCTTGTTGCATCAGCTTAACAAGCATCGCACACACACACACGCATGCAAACTGTGGCTGCACAACAACAGGAGGCTGGGCGGTGTGTTAAGTGTCAGAACGTGACACGTATGTGTGTCAATCCTGTGAGAGATTTATCACCGCTGCAGTGCTATCCAGGATCTAGCAGATGGCTAAACACACACACACACACACACACACACAAACACACACACACACACACACACACACAGAGACGATCAGGGCGTGATCAGTGTCCTATACGATCAGTTTAAACCACGTCAGTGTCACACACGCTCCTGTCATTAGCTCTGTGCACTGACGCAGCATGTCTGTGTTTGTATGGACACATTTTATTACTGAAAAATCTATGGTTAGCTTAAAAATCCGCCTGCAGACACCAAAGGGCGACTGGCCGTTTGATCTGTGTGTGTGTGCAGTCAGAGCACACTCCTGTCTGTTTGATCATTCCTCCCTAAGCTTCCTTCCCTACGGCCAAATGAATAATCCACAAAACTCGCATCTAATGCAACTTTCATTCAGACACATCTTCAAAGAGACCTCGCTCTCTCTGCTCTTCTTCTCCTTCTCCTCTTTCTCCTCTCCGGCCCTTTTTAACACTCACCTCCTTCTCTGCACATACACATGCATAAACTGTGTTAAACACCATTAATAACCACATTCGTGTAATGCACACACTGATTAAGGAACTCTGCACTGACCTAACCTCTGAATTTAGAGTTATTTGGATTTATGTGAACAATTTATAATCACTTTACTGTCTGGAGGGACGTGCTGCTTCCTGTAGGCTCCTTCCCCCTTTTTTCTCTTTTCTTCCATCCTTCCTTATTTCCTACCTCCCTTCATTCCTTTTTGACCTTAGATCATCTTTCTTTGCTTTCTCTTTGCTTTCATTTCTTCCTCACTTCCTTCTCGCAATCCTTCTTTCCTTCCTCCTTCCATCTCTTCTCTCCTCCTTTCCTTTCTTCATGTACGGAAGAAAAAAGGGTGGTGCACAAAAGAAGCAATGAAGAAGAGGAAGCGAGGAATCAGAAAGGAGGTGGAAAAATGAGTAGTGGGACATGATGAGACAGAAAACAAATTTGAGTGAATGTGTGGAAAAGGAAACGAAGGAATTAAAGGACTGAGAAATGGTTTGTGTGGAGGAGGAAGAGGTAAAAAGAGACAGAAAGAGACGAGAGAGAGAGGGTGGAAAAGTGTGAGGAGGCGAGCAGGAGGAGGAGGAGGCGAGATAAGGGGAGGGAAGGATAAGACAGAAGACTGCTGAGCTTTTCCTTTTTATCCTCGTCTGTGCTGCTCTCTCTGACGCTGTCTGAGGCCGGCGTGCTGCAGAATGACTCGGCAGTATCAGCACAGACAGAGAGAGACGCACAGAGCTACAGACGAAAAATATATATCCAGACAAACGGGAGGAAGAGGAGAAAGAGGAAAAGGGAGGAGTAAGGTGGGGAAAGACTGAGGGGAGGAGGAAGAGAAACAAAGAAACAGGAAATTGGAACCAGAGGAGAGGAGAGGGCATTAGGGGAAGAACAGGAGTCTAGGATAGCGGGGAGACACAGTGGGGAAAGAAAACAAGGAAAACAGAAGAAAAGAAAGGGGGATGAGGGCTTCTCAGAGAGTGACGAGGAGGAGAGAACAGGAAAGGCAGGAAAAGGATAAAAGGAGAGAAAATTGAGCCAAATCAAAAGGAACAGAGAGGCCGACATGAGAGGATGGAGGAAGAAAAGATGAGACAAAAAAGGTTAGAGGCACAGGAGGATAAATAAACGTCTGAGAGAGATCAAAGATTTTAAAAAAAGAACATACACACAGAACTCCGTGTGTGTGTGTGTGTGTGTGTGTGTGTGTGTGTAGGCCTATCAATTACTGCATTAAGAGAATTGACCTTCAGAGACAGACTGAAGCTTAATGATGGAGATAAAGATCCTGACTCACACTGTGCAAACAGCAAACACACATATTAGTCATAACAGCAGCTCACATAAACACTTGTACACTCATAGAAATAGTCGGTGCTCTCTAACAACACAATTAATAATCCATAGTGCCGGGGACACACACACACACACACACACACACGCACGCACACACACACACACACAGGTTAAAAGCTTTGCAGAGATGCGTTTATCTCAGAGTGTTTACTCCAACACAAACATGAGGCGGACAGACACAAAGAAAGCGAAACAGCTTGTTGACACGCACCAAGCAGATGGCCTTCTACCTTTGCGAGGACTCACAGATACCTCGGTTTATCCCGACCAACCCTGAGCCGAGGATTAACTCGAGCTCCAAAAGTCGAGTCCTAACGGCTACTCTGAGGTGAGACTCAGCCACACCTTTACTCACTCACAGGACCTCAAACGCACACTCAAACACCCACACAGGGCATAATATAAGAGCCTAGAGACCCCTCATCAATAAATCATCAGCACAGCCATTAAAATGCTGCACACACAAACACACACACACACCCACGCTAGTCCTAATAGCAGTTCACATAAACACGTGTACACTCATAGAAACAGTCAGTGCTCTCTAACAGCACAATTAATAATCTATAGTGCTGCAAACACACACACAAAGAGAATAAAAACACACATCCTCACACACACACCTTCCTCCACAGTGGAGTCGAGCTGGGTGACTTTCACAGCCAGCTGGTCCACCCTCTCCTGCAGGCTGCTCATCCTCAGGTAGAAGCTGTTGGCTTCGTTAAACAGTTCCCCGAAAATGTCCTCAGCATGACGACCTGTACAGAGGGAGAGAAACACACACACACACAGTCAGATTCGCCACTTTAATATCTTTCATCCAGGGATATTTAACAGGCTACATTCACACTTCCATGTTGGCCAGCTGAACTCTGCCTCACACCACAGGAATAAAACATGCAGCGAGAATTAAATCAGCTGGGAGAATCAGACTGTCTGGAAAAGCAGAGCAAGCTGACACAATTAAAGACGTTCAGAGTTACTTCAGGTTTCCGTCCAAAAAGGACAAAAGAAAGTGTGATAACAGAAGGTCTACATGTATACAGTGGTCCCTCGCTATAATGCGGTTCACATTTCGCGCCCTTGCTGTTTCGCAGATTTTTTGGGGGTGCAATTTTGCTTTTTTGTGTTCTGCGTCCTGATTGGCTGTAGACCACTGTCAATCAATCTCGTGCTGTGTCTCCTGTACAGTACAGAATGTGTTCAGCTGCCAACTTTACATAAATCTTTGATCGCTAGCAGTGTGACTCTGAAGTGCTGCACTGTATATTTGAAAGTTTTCTCCCCAACAAACACAACAATGTTGACGCAACCACGGGTGCCTTATTTTTCTACAGAGGTGTGAACTTTGAGATTGTTTAAACAAGAGAGAAAAGTGTGAAAATGTTCATGCCTGTCTGAGAAAAGTGTATAAAGTGTGTACTAGAGATGGCACCATACCACTTTTTTATGTCCGATACCGATATCATAAATTTGGATATCTGCCGATACCGATATGAATCCGATATAGTGTTTTTTAATCAATAAAACTGTTTTTTAATATCTTAATGCATTTTGTATAAGTTCAAACTCAAGTTAAAAAAAAACAAACACTAAAGCTATTCTGTTATACCTGTATGTAAAAAATAGCAAGAAAAAAAAATAGGGAACCACCCCTCACGCTCCACCTCATGATGCTTAATCGACATAATCAACTTTAATTTGATGCAGTGTGAAAAAAATGCACAGAAATAAATTATTTTTCTACAATAATTAAATAGATTTAACATCTTTCTTCAACAGAATTGCAGACTGCACAGATGGTACCTTCCCAAAGGAAAAAGTAGTATAGCTTACTAGGGTATATTAGACTTAATCCGGTTGTTCAGTCTGACGTCACTAGCCGTGTCTGGGCCTAAACTCCGCTGCAGGTCCATATATCAAACGATCACTATGGCATTACTGAGAGTTGAAAAACTGTCTAAAGTCTTTCATCTTTAATAAAATGATCAGCGTTCTGCTCTACCAGGTGTAACAATTGAGTGTAACATCCAGGCATCCATGAAAACGGAATTTATGACATTTAACGGAGTTAGAAGTTAGCAGGGAGTTAGCTCGCTAGCTTCTATCTAAATACAATATAGCATGTCCTGACTGCGGGGTTTTGGAAACAAATTAAAACGTACAGCTCTGTTATCACTTCCAACATAAATGAAGACAGGAAACTAAACAGCAGTGACGTTTGTAGGGTTACTGAAGTTGGGCTAGCTGGTATATAATGATGTGCTACGTGACCGCTAGCGACACAGCTATGTTAGCATAATATAAACAAGCTCACTTTTTTTCCACTCGATAAAAGCTAACGTGAGTGTTCTGGGTGGTCAGGAACAAATGTAATCGCATGGCAGGATGCTGTAAAAGGACCAAACTTCAGCCAGGAGAACAACTGAGATAATCCATCCACAATACGAGGTTAGTCATTCATATACTGCTGCATGGGCTGGGCTGTAGTTACATCTTAAGGTTTTAAAAACTGAGCTTAAATAAATGATTAGCGGTAATAAAAGCCGAGGGATGTCAACAGTGATCACTGACTGTTTTAGGAGCTTTTTGAGATCAAATAGAAGAAAATACATAACATTAAACATGTTAACAACACAAAAGCCATATTAAACGCAGACTACTTTAGACCCGGAAGTAGGATTCGTCGCGTCATCACTGAACAACCGGATAGTTACTATATACAGTAATGGATTTCTGTACATTTTACATCAGATTAAAACTTTGGGTGTAAGATTCAGATAATTATTTATTAAAAGCTAGACATTTTAAATGAGAATAAGAAAGAAAAGTATGTCTCTGTGCCCCCTTTTCCCTGTTAATGCCCTACCGGCCCCCCTGGCTAAACTTTGCTAGATCCGCCCCTGCACAGTTACCAGCCGTCAGCTACGTAGAAAAAGATCCTCGAGTAGAAAGTAATATTAAATAAATTCTAACAACAGCTTATCAAGCTTAAATGTGCTGCTGTTGTTCAGCCGCTGGTTTCCTCTTTCTGGTGCAAAGTGGGCCAAAAACAAAGAAGAGAGACGGACTCGCGACAGAAAAGCCGATCAGCTGATCATTGATCAGTTTCATGATTGAAGTAGCAGCAAGAAGAGGCAGTCGCTCCATATATCGTTTGTTAAGCTTAACGCGGGAATGCTTTACAAACATTCAGAGATGAACTTACACACTTGCTTTACTTCTCTGGGATCACTTTCTCTGAGATGAAAAGCCGGTTTGGTAGCAAGGCTCCAAATGCTCAACCAGACCGCTGACAGGTATCGCACGCCACAGCTGCTCTATCACGTGACCACACTGATCCAACGTGCTACGGTTATAAGCCGAGTTATGCAATGTCGCAAGTTTTGTGAGGTGCTTTTTTGATATTTAATGGATCGATTACATTTTTTATTTCTCTCCGATATCCGATCCAGTAATTTAGGTCAGTATCGGACCGATACCGATACGTAATATCGGATCGGTCCATCTCTAGTGTGTAGTGAGGGGTTTCATAGCCTTAAAACATCTATAATGATTGTAAAAAAATTAAGTTGGCTATTTTGCAGATTTCACATATTATTTTTAGAATGTACAGTGGGGCAAAAAAGTATTTAGTCAGCCACCGATTGTGCAAGTTCCCCCACTTAAAATGATGACAGAGGTCAGTAATTTGCACCAGAGGTACACTTCAACTGTGAGAGACAGAATGTGAAAAAAAAAATCCATGAATTCACATGGTAGGATTTGTAAAGAATTTATTCATAAATTAGGGTGGAAAATAAGTATTTGGTCACCTCAAACAAGGAAAATCTCTGGCTCTCACAGACCTGTAACGTCTTCTGTAAGAAGCTTTTCTGTCCCCACTCGTTACCTGTATGAATGGCACCTGTTTGAACTCATCATCTGTATAAAAGACACCTGTCCACAGCCTCAAACAGTCAGACTCCAAACTCCGCCATGGCCAAGACCAAAGAGCTTTCGAAGGACACCAGGAAAAGTATTGTAGACGTGTACCAGACTGGGAAGAGTGAATCTACAATGGGCAAGCAGCTTGGTGTGAAGAAATCAACTGTGGGAGCAATCATCAGAAAATGGAAGACATACAAGACCACTGATAATCTCCCTCGATCTGGGGCTCCACGCAAGATCTCATCCCGTGGGGTCAAAATGATCATGAGAACGGTGAGCAAAGCTCCCAGAACCACACGGGGGGACCTGGTGAATGACCTGCAGAGAGCTGGGACCAAAGTAACAAAGGTCACCATCAGTAACACACTACAACGGCAGGGAATCAAATCCCGCAGTGCCAGACGTGTTCCGCTGCTGAAGCCAGTGCATGTCCAGGCCCGTCTGAAGTTCGCCAGAGAGCACATGGATGATACAGCAGAGGATTGGGAGAATGTCATGTGGTCAGATGAAACCAAAGTAGAACTTTTTGGTATAAACTCAACTCGTCGTGTTTGGAGGAAGAAGAATACTGAGTTGCATCCCAAGAACACCATACCTACTGTGAAGCATGGGGGTGGAAACATCATGCTATGGGGCTGTTTTTCTGCCAAGGGGACAGGACGACTGATCCGTGTTAAGGACAGAATGAATGGGGCCATGTATCGTGAGATTTTGAGCCAAAACCTCCTTCCATCAGTGAGAACTTTGAAGATGAAACGAGGCTGGGTCTTCCAACATGACAATGATCCAAAACACACCGCCCGGGCAACAAAGGAGTGGCTCCGTAAGAAGCATTTGAAAGTCCTGGAGTGGCCTAGCCAGTCTCCAGACCTCAACCCCATAGAAAATCTGTGGCGGGAGTTGAAAGTCCGTGTTGCTCGGCGACAGCCCCAAAACATCACTGCTCTTGAGAAGATCTGCATGGAGGAATGGGCCAAAATACCAGCTACTGTGTGTGCAAACCTGGTAAAGACCTATAGTAAACGTTTGACCTCTGTTATTGCCAACAAAGGTTATGTTACAAAGTATTGAGTTGTATTTTTGTTATTGACCAAATACTTATTTTCCACCCTGATTTATGAATAAATTCTTTACAAATCCTACCATGTGGATTCATTGATTTTTTTTCCACATTCTGTCTCTCACAGTTGAAGTGTACCTCTGGTGCAAATTACTGACCTCTGTCATCATTTTAGGTGGGGGAACTTGCACAATCGATGGCTGACTAAATACTTTTTTGCCCCACTGTAACTCCAGCGATAAATGAGGGACAACTGTACATACAGTTTACAGTGTGCACGGACTCACCTGCGATCAGATATTCTCCACTTTGCTTTATTCTAACCAATTCATTTCTCTGCCTTACTGTAACACTGTAAGGTAGCTCTGTATGTATGAGTTGATTGGATTTCTACTTGGAGGAAGTGTTCAGAGAGCAGTGTGTTGTCCAAATGAGGCTCTATTATAGCATGCTAGCTGTAGCCAGCTGTCTGTCCTTTCCTGTGTAAAGATGAACTGCAAAAAATAAATAAATAATGAGATGATCCTAGTCTTCATTCAGTCCTGTTTGTTTGTTAAGCCACTTATCACTGGCCTATGAATCATTCAAGTGCAAAAAGGCATCTAACTCAACACAACTCAACCAGTGTTGTGTCTACACATACCAGACAACTTAGCAAAAGGATCATTTTAAATTGTATCTCTGGGCACTTTGTTACTCGCAGCCCGTCCCAAAAACCTCATTTGTTCCCATTTCTTTAGCTGAATCTATGAAAAATGTGAAAGACAAGACAAGGTGGTTCCCAAAGAGCTTTATAGGTGAAAACTTGGCAAACCTCAGCTTGCTGTGCAGGGTGTTTTCATGGAAACTGGACAAAAGAAGGACATGGACAGTATGTGAAAGTCATGTCCTTAAGATAGAGAAAAAAATCCAGCAGAAGCCTGACACGGGCCTGAGAGACACATCTGGACCTTCACCTGATCCATCTACTGTTCTCTGAAGCCTCGTCAGAATTGTCTAAGTTGAAGGGTGGCTGTGAAGAAGGCGTTCATGAAATGTACGAGAAGAGAAATTCAGAGATGGAGGTTGCTCCCCTCCCTCCTCCCGGCGTCTGCCTCAGCAGGACCAGCCGCCTCCTGCTGTGCACCTGTCGGACTGAATATTTAAACAGGGCCTCTCTGTCTGAGAGCGTTTGCACGCCTGTGACGACAGTGGCACAAATATTTAAATGCATTTACCGAGATGCAGAACAGCAGCCTTCCTCAATAACACTGTCACCTTCAAATTGAATCACATGCACACTCATTTCAGCGTCTCGCCACCTCGTTCGCTCTCTTCTCTCGTCCTGCGTCTCCATCTCTCGGCCCACGTCATCACAGATGGAGCAGAGGCAGAGCGCTCGCTCATTTGCAGTGAGCTGTCGCTGAATATAATCTATCCTCTAACTGTTAATCGAATTTAAATAGCCTTTTCCCCCCCTCACACTCAATTCATTTCCATTGAAGTATGCCTCGTCTGCTACAGAGCACATCAGCTATGAATGACTTCATTGCTTTCAAATGAAGAATGTGTTTAGCTGTTCAGGGTGAGAAATTCCAATAAAGAGAATACAGACGAGAGGACGCTAAACTGCGGGATACGATGCTTCAGAAGGAATTCTGAAAACATGCTCACCTGCACGTTATTAGACCTGATAAAAAATACAAAAATCACCTTGGATTCACCTTACTTTCACATCAATCCATCAATCACTATGGCAACTGTGCTCATCAGCAAACAACTGCTGACGCACAAACTAATCAGCATATGCACGCACGGCCTTATTCACACTCAACACATCTCAAGTGGTCTGCATTAAGGAGCATGGCTCTGAATTCATTTTAGGTGTGATTGCATGTAAATGCCTAGACATGCTGGGCTCTGATTGCTCACGAGTGTTAGAGACAGACATGTGACTTGTCTGTCCCGTTTGTAGCAACTGAAAATAAAATAAATTCATAATTATAATAAAGGTCAATCAAATGGACCAATATGGCAAGGCCATGATGATCCACTTGGTAAAATAAATCCGCTTGCCATCTTTCTTGGCCTTAAGACAACAATTTTGATGGCTAAAGATCCAAACGGGACACAAAAAAAAAAGGAAAAAAAAAGAGACAGACATGTGACCTACTGCGATGGAGGGTAAACAACACAGGTCCTCTTCACTACAGTCACGAAAAAAACTCGTGAACTTTTTGTTAAAGGTGGTTAAGAGGTCCTGAATCGTGGGGTGCGCTTCATTTTTCACGGGCCCGTGAAAAACAATTTTTAAAATTATAATGTGTAACGTCTCACCACTAGATTTCAGTAAGTAAGTGAATAATCGTAGCTTTGGTGGCTTCTGTACAAACAACTGCGGTTGCCGTTCATCTAGAGCTGGGCGATATGAGATTTTTTCATATCACGATATGTTTTTTTCATTTCAGGCGATAACGATATCTATCACGATATAAGCCAAATAACTATATTTGTAAGATTTAAATGTGCCGTTGCTCACAAGTAAAATGTGAAATAATCAGCAGCTTGTTTTTATTTAAATATTTATTTCCCATAATAAGTTCAACAGGGTACATGTACTTAAGGAACATGAGACTTTTTCAGATAAATAAAGGCAAATATTGCAAACTACACAAAAGGCAGCCACTAAAGCATTTAAGTTTCAAAATAGAACAAACAAAACAGACTAAATTGTCAATTCCACTTAGAAACAAAGTATTAATTCTAAAAATAAATCTTAGTTTGTTTTACAGAAGAACAGACAAAACTGACTAACTTTTGTCAATATCAAATAAACTGAGAACTAAAAGGAAATTCTCAATCTCTCCTTGTTGTATAGCTTAGCTTTTCAAACAGTTTTAACAGTTACTTTAGTCTGACAAAAGCCGAATGACGAATTAGCGCTTCCAGTCAGAGACTGAGGCTACGTCCACACGTACACAGGTATTTTTGAAAACGGAGATTTTCCGTTTTCGTTTTAAAAAATAATCCCGTCCGCACATAAAGGCAGAAATGAAGGAAAACGCTGCTATGAACATGCCAAAGCAGCAGGTGGCGCTAGATTCCTAACCGTGCAGAAATGTTGGCCAATCAGAAGTCTAGAAGCCTCGGTGGGAAAAAGTAAACAAAGCTGGGGCATAGAAGCAGAACCGAGTCGTATGTGTGGAGGGACAGTAACTGTGTGTATATGTAAGCATTTAAACACTGCAGAGAGTAGAATTAACAGTATTGTAGAAATTCATTTCACCGAAACAATAACGTGGCGCACAGTGTGACGCATGCACCAGTTCATTGTATTTCCAGACTTGCTTTCGGCACAATTTACAGTGCACGCTACTCTGTTTTTTGTCAGACTTGAAATAGCCGAAATACCTTCACACTACGGAACTTCTATGGCTCTTCCGTTCGACAATCTCTCCGGCATTGGAACCATCATCTGTTTTCTCTTCGGTCACGCTCGGTTGATTTTTCTAGTCGGCACACTCATTTCCTCCATTACGCGCTGGCTCCATTACCCGCTGGCTGCTTCCCAAACAAACACACGTGCGGCTTGGCACTTGTGCTGTACGTAACAAGTCACGCGACGTGACGCTGCGGCTGTGATTGGTTCGGCTCTGCGCTACTTAATTTGGATTGGCTGAACTTTTTTTTTTTTTTTTTTTTGAGGACAAGAGCGGCGAGGTCTATCGCGATAGCTTAATTTCTCTATCGAGTAAAAGTTATATCGCGATACATATCGTTATCGTTCTATCGCCCAGCTCTACGTTCATCTGTAGTGAGTGTAGGCTTCCAGTTCACTGTTTAGCTCAGCTGTCGATATGTGCAAAACTTTGTGAAATGAGCTGATGAGTCAGTGTGGTGAGTTGCTGAGGATATACTGAACTTCTCTGTTGGTCAGAGCTTCTATTTTTGCTGCTGTTAGCCGCTGTTAGCTGCTGTTAGCCGCTGTTAGCCGGTTAGCCAGCAGCTAAACTTTCTTTGAAGTGAATTTAATTTTGCTTAACTTTGACACTTATGAAATGAAAATGTAATCAAACTGTTTATCAGAGGAAAAGTATGAATTTTAGGATACTCAAACTTAGCATAGCATTAGCTGGTAGCTGCTGTTGTTTAGCTTTGTTGTAGTCAGCTGTTTGGAGAGTGGAAGGATGATATGTCTAACCTGCTAACAATAAGTAATTGTTTCAATATTGGGAATAAATAAGCATGTTTATGCATATTTTTTGTGTTACAGCTATGACTTCAATTCAAGAGCTAAGGCTTGGAGTGAGGAGCAAGATGAAGTTTTATCCAGATTCCAACGGTGATGTATATTTCCTTTATGTTTTCTTCTGCTTCTTTGTTTAAGCGGACCCCTTCATATAATAAAACATAGGTATGACCTTCATATGTTGAAGGTGCAGACATGGTGCCTCCACAGTACAGTTCTCTTCTCCTCCGCCTACATCTGTACTACATACTACATCTGTAGCCGTTCTCTAGCCACTTACACACAGTGCGTTTATGTGCAGCGGTTGATTTCCATCTTAACCACTGTATTCAAGAGATTTATGAGTACAACATTTTTTTTCTGTTAAATAACCTCAACAAAATGACTGACTGCAACTTTGAGTATTGAGTATCTTCAGTAGGGCTGATTCAGTGAATGCTGGATAAACCAAGGCTACAGAACAGGGTTTACTGACCAACCCCAAAAAACTGCCTGGCTTGTGTCAGCAGTGCATTTTTCTTTAAAAGAGGAAATAATGTTACAAAATAGTTTTTTTAAATAAAAAGCTCCTCCCCCCTCCAAAAAAAAGAGCCCCAAACCGTGCATCATATCAGATCATGCTAAAGACTCATGCTAGCATGTTAATGCTAAAATGTCGGAATGAAAACTACATGAATGTTACAGGATGTTCTTGTGCTGAACTACAGTATACTTACTTAGACTGCCCAGCTGCTTGATGATGGCTGCCAGTGTAGTGTTGGTGACGCACTCCAGCTCACTAGTCACCCCATCTGGCAGCGCTCCACGGCACAAGTGCCGGGGCTCAATGTTCCTCTTCACCAATGGCATGCTGGTCTATACCTGAAGAAGACATTGAGACAAGGAGAGAGAGAGAGAGAGAGAGAGAGAGAGAGAGAGAGAGGTAAATTGTTATGCGATTTTCACTTGAAACATTGATTCGATTTCTACTAATGTTTAAATACATGACATCCTCGAAATGAGTTTACATCTCCAAAGCCGCCGGCTAACAGCTCACCTGTAGTCTGCAGAATATCTTCTAACATCAGCCAATATGCTGTTGCTCTTTATTTAAATCCCCCTTTGGGAAACACAGCTAACATCACAGCCACATCCTGGCAGACAAGGAAGAAAGAAGGAAAGCTAAGGAAAAAAAATGGGTTGATGTTCAGCTGTGATTGCTGATGGAAACGGAGGTGTCATGTCTGCCGCGGGGCACAGTCACTCATCACGCTGCTTAATGTCAGTGCTGCTGGAATGAGCCAAGAGCCCAATGAGCCAGAAAGAAGTTTTTAAATGGTGCTAACGAGCAGCAACCGTGGTCAGAGAAGCCACGAGAGAAAGACGGAGTGACAGAAGGAGAGACGAGCTGAATATGAAAGAGGAGAGAACAGACAGGATGTCAGGGCACGTCACGAAGAAGAGCTACATATACTGCAGATCCTGTCCTGTATGATGAAGAAAGCCAGATGTCTTTGTGCCGAGTGAAATGGGAAAAACCCAGATATATGGGAGTCAATGTAATTTAAAAAATGTGTAAGTCTATTACAGTTAGTAACAGAAAGTAACAATAACAGAAAGTAACGCTATATCATAGAGCTGGGCGATATGAGATTTTTTCATATCACGATATGTTTTTTTCATTTCAGGCGATAACGATATCTATCACGATATAAGCCAAATAACTATATTTGTAAGATTTAAATGTGCCGTTGCTCACAAGTAAAATGTGAAATAATCAGCAGCTTGTTTTTATTTAAATATTTATTTCCCATAATAAGTTCAACAGGGTACATGTACTTAAGGAACATGAGACTTTTTCAGATAAATAAAGGCAAATATTACAAACTACACAAAAAGCAGCTGCTAAAGCGTTTAAGTTTCAAAATAGAACAAACGAAACAGACTAAATTGTCAATTCCACTTAGAAACAAAATATTAATTCTAAAAATAAATCTTAGTTTGTTTTACAGAAGAACAGACAAAACTGACTAACTTTTGTCAATATCAAATAAACTGAGAACTAAAAGGAAATTCTCAATCTCTCCTTGTTGTATAGCTTAGCTTTTCAAACAGTTTTAACAGTTACTTTAGTCTGACAAAAGCCGAATGACGAATTAGCGCTTCCAGTCAGAGACTGAGGCTACGTCCACACGTACACGGGTATTTTTGAAAACGGAGATTTTCCGTTTTCGTTTTAAAAAATAATCCCGTCCACACATAAAGGCAGAAATGAAGGAAAACGCTGCTATGAACATGCCAAAGCAGCAGGTGGCGCTAGATTCCTAACCGTGCAGAAATGTTGGCCAATCAGAAGTCTAGAAGCCCCGGTGGGAAAAAGTAAACAAAGCTGCGGCATAGAAGCAGAACCGAGTCGTATGTGTGGAGGGACAGTAACTGTGTGTATATGTAAGCATTTAAACACTGCAGAGAGTAGAATTAACAGTAACAGTATTGTAGAAATTCATTTCACCGAAACAATAACGTGGCGCACAGTGTGACGCATGCACCAGTTTATTGTATTTCCAGACTTGCTTTCGGCACAATTTACAGTGCACGCTACTCTGTTTTTTGTCAGACTTGAAATAGCCGAAATACCTTCACACTACGGAACTTCTATGGCTCTTCCGTTCGACAATCTCTCCGGCGTTGGAACCATCATCTGTTTTCTCTTCGGTCACGCTCGGTTGATTTTTCTAGTCGGCACACTCATTTCCTCCATTACCCGGGCGGTACGGTGGCTGGCTGCTTCCCAAACAAATACACATGTGCGGCTTGGCACTTGTGCTATACGTAACAAGTCACGTGACGTGACGCTGCGGCTGTGATTGGTTCGGCTCTGCGCTACTTAATTTGGATTGGCTGACCTTTTTTTTTTTTTTTAAGAGGACAAGAGCGGCGAGGTCTATCGCGATAGATTAATTTCTCTATCGAGTAAAAGTTATATCGCGATACATATCGTTATCGTTCTATCGCCCAGCTCTACTATATCATCATATGAAAAGTTCTGTTTTTGCTTCACTATTGCACATAGTTGTGATATAGGACTTAATGAAGAACTAAGTTATCACACAGTATGAACAACCTTAAAGCCTCTTAAGAATAAATTAGTGCCAAAAAGACATGAGAGACGACTGACTGGGGAACAAGAGAATAAACACGAGGGCAGAACTAGAACTACGTCCACACGTACACAGGTGTTTTCAAAGACTCCATTTTTGCGTTTAAGTGTGGTCGAGGAAAACTGAGATTTAGTCTCGCACCGTCACAGGTGTGCGCCATTCTTGACGTCACGCTGTCCGCCACGTTATTGTTTACATAAATTACTGCAGTGGCAGATAGAGATAAGATACTTTTCCACGCTTACATACACATGCGCAGTTACTGTCCTTCTATTTAGAAAGACAGAGGCATCAGAGTGAACTACGGACGTGGCTTCTACATTAAATGCTGACGTCGGTCTTGAATAAATTTACTTTCTTAAATTAAATGTATGTATTTTGTATGCATTTTGTTCATTCCTAAGTTGTGAGTCTACACCAGCGGTCCCCAACCCCCGGGCCTCGGACCGGTCCCTGAGTCGTTTGGTACCGGGCCGCAAGAGTTGAGGCTCAGGTGTGAAATGTATGGTTTTCAGGGTTTTTATTGGTTTTCAGCGTTATTTTGTTATCGTTTTGATTGTTAACTTGGTTTTCCTGGGTCTTTTCACGTGTGTTATGAATAAATCTTCTTTTGTTCTGTACCGGTACTAGTTTTATTTTGTTGTATTTATCCGCGACACCTCACAGGCCGGTCCGTGAAAATATTGTCGGGCATAAACCGGTCCGTGGCGCAAAAAAGGTTGGGGACCGCTGGTCTACACCAACCAAAATAATGCCTTTAGTTAATAACATCTGAAATGATGAAGGCACTTGAAAAGTAACACAAAATTATCTGCCTTTCCAGAAAAACAAAAACGTAAAGTTTTTGTGAGTGTACAAAACCCTGTGTACTCTTTCCCAGGCTTCTAGACTTCTGATTGGCCAACATTTCGTTTTTAGCGTTTACATGTGGACTGAGATATTTGTTCAAAACTGCACGTTTGGACGGGCTTTTCCAGTTTTCAAAAATACCTGCGTACATGTGGACGTAGCCTAAAACTGAGACCTAGAAATCACAAACCCAGAGGAACTGGAGAGCTACAATTACAAAACAGCAACCAAAACACCAGCAGTCATAAAGCAAGATGAAAGCAACGATTCATAATAATAATAATACAAAAATCAAAGCACTGGGCCACCAACCCAGGACCGTGACTCCAATATCTGTTGTTCAACTGTGTTTTTTGATATAACTGTTCAGCTCTTGCACACCTGTAGACTGTACTGATAATCTGTAAACAGATTATGCAACTTTGGAAAAGAATAGCGGATATTTAACATGAAAATGGGACGTGTCAGTCGTTTACTTGAACATAAAAACAGACTGACAATCCAGAACAACCAACCGCACAAACACACAGAATGATTATTATGATCAGTCAAACAAAACAAACCAACCAAGTGACCAGCCAACAAACAAGAAGAAAGAATAATCAACCAGACAACCAATCAAATAACCAAAAAACAAACTAACCAAAGAGACCAACCAGACCAATCAACCAACTGCCCAGTCATTCAAACAAGAAGACAGATTAATCAACCAGACAACCAACCAGAAAAGAGCCAACTGGCCCAACGAACCATAACAGTCTTAAAATGAAATATAAAAAGGGAGTTAGGAGATTTGAACTTCCTTCTCAAAGATTATCACATTATTGACCAAATGGGATCCAACATGCTTTAACAGCACAGTCTCATTTGGCCCAACTCTTCCAAAGAGGCTGTCATGAGAGCGGTGAAGAAAGACAGAAAGAAAAGTTGGAAAATAAGTGTGACAGAGCTCCCGACAGAGTCAAACACGTGAGAGGAAGCTGCTTGGCTTTTCTCCATTTGCAGTGAACTCTCAATGTGGGACACGCTTGTTATTTTTGGGCCAGGGTTTTGTACAAGTCTGTGTGTATTCATATGTGCGTATATGGCATCTGTGTATGGTGTGTATTTTCCCAAAGTGTGCACACTGGAGTGTGTGTCCGTACAGTATGTAGATGTGGGAGGAGTGTGTTTTCCCAGGTCAGCGCTCTGCTGTTATTGCGCTGCCTCCCACAGTTCTAATATATTCAACGACACAATCAACAGTACTAAGGCGAGACAATGGAGGTAAACAAAAACACTGGCAGAAAGGGTGAATCTGTGAGTCTGTGATGCAAACTTTATCTTGATGACGGCGTACGTGATAATCCCACTTTGGTGCCTCAACCCTGAAATCGATTTCTACACTTGTAAGACACTAAACGTGTATTTGTTCACATGCTCCTTAATTTGTTTGTCCTGCCTGAAACTCACATGCCAACTTTAATAAAAACTGACTGGTTTGTCCTCTTTATGTCTCTCACACACTCTTCCGCCCTTCCTCCTTCTAATAGCTTCTGACATTCAATTATACAAACCACCTCAGATTGTGCCGCCGGCTCGTCGTGAGAGTGCGAGCGAGCGTCCCTACCAGTGCGTGGGTGAGCCAGTATCGACCTCCCCCTCCTCCAGCTGTTGTAAATAATCTAACACTCTGGGTATTTAATAATACATATGCACTCCTCCTCATCCTCCTTTGCTGCCTCGGTAGCTGCTCTTCATCTCAGATTTGTCTCATCTGTCGGAGTCCTCCCTCCTCGACTTTTCCCCGCATTCCTGCCTGTTTTCTCGCTCTCCATCTCCTCTCCATCTCATTAATAAACCAGTAATGGTGAATATCTCTTCCTCTGACTC